GAGAGAAATCATTCGTCTTTTTCTTACATCATCTTAAGCCCTTTTGGGAATCCAGAATCTAGAAATGTTGGCAAGGGCTGCTACAGATGGGAGTTAAACCTGGGTAGGAGGCCAGGCACGTTGGCTCACGCCTATAATCCTGGCACTCAGAGAGGCTGAGGCAGGAGGATTGCTTGAGGCCAGGAGTTCTAGGCCAACCTGAGCGACATATTGAGTCCCCATCTCTACAAAAACTAAGAAAGATTAGCCAGGCGTGGTGGCATATACCAGTAGTCCCAGATACTCTGGAGGCTGAGGCGAGAGGATCACTTGAGCCCAGGAGTTCAAGGCTGCAATGAGCTATGATTGCACACTGTGCTCCAGCGTGGGTGACAGAGTGAGACCCTGTCTCTAAAAACAATAACAATAACCTGCAAGGAACCCTCTGTACATGGAAGATCAGTCAGAAACTGGACAGTGCCTAAAGCTCAGACCCCAGGGGTGAGAGGTGAAGATGTCTGTGAGGTGGCCTGTCCAGCATCCTCAGTTCACAGGTGAGCTCCCAGGAAATCAAGCCATTTGTCCAAGGTCCTCTTATGGGATGATGCAAGGAAGTGAGAGTATGACCACTCCTGAGGTCCAGGACCTACTGGTTCCTTTTTTCTGTTTTTTTTTTTGTTGTTGTTGTTTTTGACACAGGGTCTTGCTCTGTTGCCTGAGCATCACCACACCCAGCTAATTATTTTATTTTTTGAAGAGATGAGGTCTTCCTGTGTTGCTCAGGCTGGTCTTGAACTTCTAGCCTCAAGTAATCCTCCCACCTCAGCCTCCCCGAGTGCTAGGATTACAGGCATGAGCCACCGCTATAACAGCCAGGTTCATCTTTAAAAGTGTGTGTCTGGCACAGTGTAGAAGCTGAGAAGGTGTTTTTTGAATAAAAATAGGATGTAATGTATGAGGTAGCTTTATAGCTTTCCAAAGACAGTTATTGCACAAGGTTGGGCAATTATAAGGGTAATAAAAACTCTTATAAACCTCATGATTCAGAGCATGTTTATAGGAGCAGCTTCGTCTCAGAAGCAAGGTCTCTTTTCCGTGGGGGTTAGGAAATAGGTGTGTTTAGCAGTGCGAAAACCAGGAACTGAAATGGCTGAGATTTCTCTTGTCAACAGGTCTATTTGAGGTCCGAGCCCAAGAGTATCTGGAAACGCTCCCCAGTGGAGAGCACAGCGGTGTCAATAAGTTCCTGAAGGGACTAGGTAAGGCCCAGGGGTCTTTGTCCCCATCACCAGCCCTTGTTCCTCCCAACCGTCTGGGGCAGCATCTTGGCCAGCTCCCTCCACTGGAGCCAGGGCCCTCGATGACACAGAGCTCTGCAGCCTGCACTGGGCAGGCGAAACTGGCATTTTAACCTCCTGTTCTAACTGACCCCAAAGTGGAAACAAGGAAACAAATCCCCCCGCCCCTTTACTCTGCCCCGAGCTATCTTCTTTCTCTATCCTCTCCTCCACTCTCAAATCCTCTGGGCAGCTGGGCGTCAGGAGCATGGCTGGAGCCAGACAGGCGTCTCCGGCAGTGAAGACTTGCCCCGGCCTCCAGATGCCCCTGGCAAGGAGAGATGGAAGAATTATAAGGACTGCGGTTTCGTCAGTAAAAAGGCCCATCCTAGAAAAGGGAGGATGAAGAAGACAGCAAAAGAGGAGGACCAAGGGACCCACACTGGGGCCGGCGGGTGCCAGTCCGTGCCTGGTGCAGGCCAGAGGGCTGCTTGGAAGAGGACCTTTCTCCTCGCTTGGCTCCTTAGGGACGTGCGACATTCAGTGCTTCCTTTATTACCACAGCAGATACCAACGCTCCTCCACAGTTCTGACATTCTTCCTTTCGAACCCCCTCAAGTCTGAGGAAGAGCCCTTTGGAGCCCCAAGGGGGCTATCGGGAAAGGGTGAACCCCCTCAACTTCTCCAGAGCAAGGGATGAGACTCCTGGGGGTGGCATGGGGGGGCCGCAGTGACCCACACCATATCTGGGATGAAAAGGGCAAGATTTAACTCACCCTTCTTTGCCCAGTGAAATGTTCTCATTTTCTTTTTTGTAGGCAATAAAATGAAGTTTCTCCACAAGAAATAACCCTCAGCTCAGCCTCAAGGGAAAACTTCCTCCTAGTGCGACCGCATGCTTTAAAAACAGTTCCTGGTGGCCTTTCTGAAAGGCTGGGTCCTTGGCTGTCCCAGTGCTGGGCTAGAGACCAGGACGGTTTCCTGCCACCACTGAGCTCTCCCCGGGGCCTGAGAGCTGCCCAGCGGACACCACGGAAAGGGAGCCTGAGACCAGGCCTGCGCCGACATGCAAACGGATTGTTTAGGTTTGGGGATTGGGAGTTTTTTAATCTTAGATATTAAAAATAAGAAAAGTGTTTGGGTTCTCTTTTTATTATGCCAGGGCTAGGAAAAATCTACCCTGCACTACTGTCCTTCCCTGGTTCGTCCTGTGCAGCGGCTCAGCTCTGGAGCCTGGAGCAGCAGCCCAGGGATCAGAACAAGGCACTCCTTTGGACAGGACTGGGGACTGGCGTGGGACCTGAGCAGGGAGGGAGCTTGGGAAGCCTGGTGATGCCTGCAGACATCGGTGCCCCCAGGTTCAGAGCAATCTTGGTGAACAAATGGGCCCTTAACGCTGGAGCAGAGGTCAGGGAGCAAGGGAAGCATTAGGGGATGTGGCTTCCCAGACAGATGAGCTGCTCTTCCAGAATGGTCAGTGATGCCACCTGGTGGCCGAGGCCACGGACTCCTCTCTTCCCAAATGGACCTGACTCTTCTCGAGTGCCTTTTTTCCTCTTACAAGCCATAGAATTGAGCCAGGCTTGGCCTGCGCCTGTAGACCCAGCTACTCAGGAGGCTGAGGTAGGAGGGTTGCTGGAGCAGTTCCCAAATTCAAGGCTGCAATGAGCTGTGACCACGCTACTGCACTCCAGCCTGGGAGACAGCGAGACCCTGTCTCAAACTAAATAAATAAAAAGAAGCCATAGAACCGTCCATTGCCTAAGTCCACGGCTTTTAGAGGTACACACAAAAAGAAGAAATCTCGTAAGATCTGTTAAAGAGGTTCTTGGGGTCCTAAAGTTTATGATACTGCCCAGGCCCCACCTCACAACACATAGGCCAGCACTTCGGCCCCGTTCCCATGTACACTGTGTGAAGTATTCTCATCTCGCTGTAGGACCCCGGGCCAGCGGACGTGAAATAGTGCCTGTGCAGGCTCAGTGCCAGGGAGGGTCGACACGCTGGGGGCAGCTTCATCAGACTCGCGCAGCCAGAGAGGCAGCTCGCATCCTCTGGACCAGAAGCAGGGAGGGCGCGGGAGAAGGCCACACCTCAGGACCACCTGAGAGCTGGCCAGCGGCGCCGAGACAGGAGGAGTCCGGGCAGCACAGGCAAGTCCTCAGAACCAGCCTCAGGGCCACCCCGGCAGCCCGGTGCCCGCAGACCCCACCGTGCATCCCCTCTGGGTGCCACCCGTGACCCTGACAGAAACACAAAAGCGGTGTGCTGTGACCTGGCGACCGCCCAGGGGCCCGTGCTGCCTGGCACGGTTTCTGAGCCTTTAGGGAGCTGGGAGCAAAGGGGTCTTCTGAGGAAAAACGGGAACGAGAGGAAAAGGAGAAGGGGCAGACCTCTCCTTCTACGTAAGGGCTACCTACCGCTTAGGCGGAGTCGTGGACCTCTCCTGAATTGTATCTAAGATTTGGGGTGTCCATTTATTTTTCAGGAGAGAGGAGCCATACTTTATATCTGATTCTCAAAGGCCCCCCAGAATGGCAGGGACCAACTATGCATAAAGTTACCCTGGGTAGGTGTGAGTGGTTGGGGCTTAGGCGGAAGGCTGAAGAAGAGTCTCTGAATGTGGGGGCTCAAGGATGTGTATCTAACAAGCTCCTCTGGTTAGTTAACTTTATTAATATTCTGCATATTTTTATATTGCCCAGAAATGATCACTTTTAATATTTTGGAATATACTTTCTTTCCTAACTTATTTCACATTATGTTGTTTACTTAATACCTCTAAGTGAATAAATATACATCTTTTCAACACTCCTAATGATTGTATAATATTCTGTTTTATGGGTATACTAAAAGGTACCTGACCAATCTTTTACTGTGTATGTATGCAGGATGTTTCTAATTTTTAATATCATAAAGAGCAGTGAAAAAAGCACCTTTGGGCGGGGCGCGGTGGCTCATGCCTATAATCCTAGCACTCTGGGAGGCTGAGGTGGGAGGATGGCTCGAGGTCAGGAGTTCCAGACCAGCCTGAGCAAGAGCGAGACTCCGTCTCTACTAAAAAAATAGAAAGAAATTAGCTGGACAACTAGAAATATATATATAAAAAATTCGCTGGGTGTGGTGGCGCATGCCTGCAGTCCCAGCTACTTGGGAGGCTGAGGCAGGAGGATGGCTTGAGCCCAGGAGTTTGAGGTTGCTGTGAGCTAGGCTGATGCCACGACACTCTAGCCCGGGCAACAGAGTGAGACTCTGTCTCAAAATAAAAAAAAGAAAAGAAAAAAATGAAAGCACACTTGCCCCATCTTCATTTTCATTTTTGCTTGAAGTAAAATACATACAGAAAAATAAACACACAGAACATGAGTCTACAGTGTCGAACATTCACAAATGACCATGTGAAAGTTGCCAGAATCAAGATGGAGTCACGTGCGTTAAAAGCCATGAAGGCCATGGAGGGAGGGTTTTCATGCACAAATGCCCGATAACAAGAACTATCGCAAAGACTCTGCAGAAACCACAAACTTGCACAAAGGCCATTGCAACCTTACACAAAAAAATACTTCTATGAGGACATCTGCCCAGCGACTGCCTGTCCAGCCTTGGACTCGATCCTTGTAGCCAAGCATCATTATCCCAAAGCAATTATATAATTCTCCTCACCTCTCTTTTAAAAACCTTTGTGTTCCTTTACCTCCCTGAACAGGGGAACAGTTTACTATGGCATTTTATTCCCATTGCAATGCCCTACTCCCAAATAAACTTTCCTTTAGAGATTCTCCCTCTCTGTTTGACATTTAGGTTGACAACCACAGCACTAACTGGATCAAGAAGCAGGATATCATCAGAACCCCCAAGCCCCTACCTGCCCCACTTCCAAACATCCCTCCATCCTGCTCTGCATGTGTTTAAAGGAAATCAACTAACAAGTTGTCCACAATGATGACGACGCAAAATGGAAATTAGGCCTAGGAGGTTCAGGGGCAAGAGAAAAAAGTAGTCTTCTCACAGGCAGATTCTTGTTTTGGTTTTGTTGCTGTTGTTTTTTCTTTTTCCTTGGCAAGGAGGAGGGGTCTGTGCAGGCCCTGGAAGGGCAGGCAGGGATCCCCTGACTCAGCCTCCCCTACATCAGACAGATTCTTGTTTTGTTTTTTTTAAGTTTCTTTTCTTTTTTTTTTTAGAGACGGGGTCTTGGAGTTCACTCTTGCTCAGGCTGGTCTTGAACTCCTGAGCTCGCAGCAACCTCTAACTCCTGGGCTCAAGCGATCGTACTGCCTCAGCCTCCCAAATAGCTGGGACTACAGGCATGCACCACCATGCCTGGCTAATTCTTTATATATATTTTTCGTTGTCCAGCTAATTTCTTTCTATTTTTGATAGAGACGGGGGTCTCCCTCTTGCTCAGGCTCGTCTCGAAGTCCTGACCTCGAGGAGCCATCCTCTGGCCTCCCAGTGCTAGGATTACAGGCGTGAGCCACCACGCCCAGCCCAAACTTTGTAAAATAATTTTAAAGAGATTTCCTCTGAGCCACATTTGAGGACCATGACCCAGAGCCATACCCAAGAAGCCTTGAGCAAGAGGACTGGCTGCGGCTGGGTTACAGTTTGGTTTTATACATTGCGGGGAGACGGGATTACAGGTAAAGTCATAAATCAATACGTGGGAAGCATACATTGCTTTGACCTGAAAAGGTGGGCCATCTCCAAGGGGGGGGGAGCTTACAGGTTATAGGTGGGTTTAAATATTCTTTGGCTTGTAATTGGTTAAAGACATGAAGCTTTGTCTAAAGGCTTGGAATGTTTTAACATAACATAAGCGCTGTTTATCAGAGATAAGCCACCGGACATATATTTGTTGTGTAAATTGAGGACCTGTAGGTTTGTCTTACATACCCTTAGGCCTGTTAATGGGTTACAAAGGAAGTCCCCAAGAAGGGAGAGGGGCATGAGGAGGCATGTCTGACCTCCTTCCTCCGGGCAGGCAATTTAGTTTTAGGATATTCCTTTGGCCACGAAAGGGTCCATTCAGTCAGCCGGTCGGGGAGGCAGGTGAGCCTTAAAAGTTTTAGTTCACATTTGTCTCACACCAACCTCTCCTCCAAGAACCAAGTGCTATAATTCTAATAAAAAAGCGTACATTTTCCATGAAGAACATGTATGTGTTTAAAAACATTGCATGGGGGAGGAGGGGGCAAGGGCAACATACATAACCTAAACATCTGTACCCCCATAATATGCTGAAATAAAAAATAAAAAAGCATTGCATGATGGTGTTTCAGTAAGTCACAGTCATGAACAAAATGTCGGAGTAGTATTGTGGGGTGGATTTCCGTGCTAGGGAATATCAGAGACACTGGTGGGCAGAGAAGGGATTGTAACTGATTCTATAAACAAATGTCAATGACCCCTATGTTTTTTTATAATCTTCTCCCTTAACTGCGTGATATTCTGAGTTGTTTCCCAGAAATAGTGGATTTTCTGCAAGACAAAGGAGCTGAGATTCTGAAGGCCCCAGGGCAGACTTCCTGACACCAAACCTCACCATCCCCTACAACCTACCCCCAATACTCTTAGCCCTGTGAGTTATACCACTACCTGCACCAAGGCATGTGGCCCCTCCTTAAAAAACCCTTGATCTCCATTATTTGGAGAAACATTTGAGGCAGCTTCTCCTGTTCCCCTGACTAGATGTCTTTCATATTAAAAGTTCCTTTTTTCCTTGGCAATCCTTGTCTCAATAACTGCATCTTCGTGCAACGAGTAACTGGACCTAGGCTGAGACCCCCTTACAGTTTCGACAACAGGATGAGTAGGAGCAGGTACAACTGGATAAGAGGTGCAGGCAGCTAATCTGAGGGAGGAGACGCAGGGAGAATGAATTCTCAGAAATTGTCACAAAAATGTCTTATCACTCAGACTGAGAATAGTGATAATATAATGGCTGCCATTTGTTGAGCAACTCTATTTGCCCATAACTGTGCTAAATTCATGCCACTTGCGAATCACCGAAATGTAAGTTTCCTGAGGGCATCGTATTGAACTGCTGAATTCCCAGAGCCTAAAACCAGCACAGAGGAGGCACTTAATAAATATTTGCTGAACAAATCAACAATTCTCAGACAAATCTGAGAGTGGTGCTCTCTCCCCTCAGGCATCGGGCTCAGTAGAGATCCTGTATCCACCACAAAGCCAATGTCCAGCCATTTCCTTCATCCCCAGGAGATCGCATTAATAATCACCAGGCT